ATCTGGGAGCCACTGGCCAGGGTTAATTCTCCACATTAACCGAAGGAATTTCTGGATACTTGCAAAAACAATTGGAAAAAAAAAAAAAAAACCAGTGGCTATGAACATCACTGCATTACATGCAAGTCACTGAAGACATAGATCCACCAGGGTAAAACGGCCACTTCTTCAGCAAAAGATGGCCCTAATTAAGCACATTTCTCTGATTAGTCTCGTATTAAGTTTAGGCAGTGTGTTCAAGGGCATCCAGTTGAAGCTTAGTGTACTCTTGGAAAGACAACTGGGACTGAGCCCTTCAACTGCTTTAGATGTTCCCTGACTGCACCAAGGGCCAAAAGGCCCTTCGGATGGTAAGAAACTGAAATGGGAGCACATTAAGGAGCTGTTTTAGAAAATCCTGCAAGGAAAAGGAGGTGATAGAAACAGAAACTATGTGATATCCACAGTAGAAAGCTGAAGATAAAAGCAAACAGTGCCCAGACAGACAGACCCTGAGCTCCAGAGGTCTCGAGAGTAAGAGAAACAAGAAAACACCCAGAGCCAAGAAATGCGGAATCAGCTCCTAATTCTGACAAAAGTAATAGAGGATTTACAGCATTTCTCCCCCATTAAACTCAAATTTCATTCCTTCCAGACTCTTTAATGAGATTTTTCTCATCTACGGACTGAAGTCCTCTGGCCAAGGTGTTCCGCACCGTGGCACCTTCCTTCACCGTGACACCCCACATGTGGAACGGGGCCACCACAAGCACCCTGCTCGTCCCAAAGGACGGGACATCCAGACAAACACGGCTGAGGTGATGCTTCCAGACGCCCGTTTGGAGGACTGGCTTCTTGAGCAAGTTCTCCAAAAAAAAAAAAAAAAAGACGGAAACAAGAACCAAAAGCAAAATATCTTTTAAGCTAAGGAAATTGTTGTAAGCTTTCAGTGTTTTACTTTGAAAATCCTACAGCCCTCAGCAAAATCCTTAGAAAATCTCTTCTTGTTTATGAAATAGCATTTGATACCACCACCTAGAAACCTACCAAATAGTGCAACCAACTCTTTGAGACTCTCCATAGGTAAATAGCGGCTGCTTTTCCCATGAATTAACCTTTCAGGCTAAAAAAAAAAAAATGCTGACTGTCAGTATTTTTAATTGTACAGTAAAATAACTCCTTGTTGAAAAATTTCAAATATTATTTGAAATAGCCTTTTTTTTAAATAGTTGTCACTAATCTGAGCCGCAGTATGAGCAAATGATTGGGGTACAAAAGTGCAGAACAGTTCCTTGGATGTAAGAGTTCACGACAGCTCTTCTGCTTCAACAAGTCTTTTACCACATCACTGACATAATTATTCTATGTATGTTTTGTATGCTCATTAGGTACACTTGAGCCAACTTAAATCATTGCTTTGATTATATGTATAACAAAAATTACTTCCCTAGCAACATTTTGTTTTTATGTATATCAAGTGTACAAAAGGTCACGTTTATACTTATTCCTAATGTTCAAATACAGCATGACAAGACAGAGATCACCGTCAAAGTGATCTCAAAATCCTATATTAAAGAATACTGTATCATAAGAACTGCAAATTAACATAGCAATGTAAGTTCTAATAAAACAAAAAGGTTTTATCAAAGTTTCTCTTCCAAGTGCTTTCCAAGTGCTTGCTTTAATTTTGGGTTCAACTTTATTTTAATCATTTTTCATGGAAGAAAAATGTCAAAAGCCTTTTAAGGCAAGAGCATTAAAAATCCAGAAGGACTTGAAGCATTATAATTTGCAGAGCTGAATTTTTACCTTTACCTAGAAATCTTATTTTTCCAGGGTTAAAAAGCCCAGTGCCGGAGGGAGGTGAAAGGAGAAGAGGACAAAGCAAGAGCAAGTGAGTTGAAATAGTGTAGAGTGGCAAAAGCCACCAAGCTATCAAGCCACCAAACCAACATTATTGCTTATGACTGACAAAAACCTCAAAATATTTAAATATTGCCCCCAGGAGTCATGGGTATTCACTACAATGAGAGCTTACGCACAAAAGATTTACCCAGATGAGCTATCTTAATTATAAATGCCTACCTATTAATTCAGTCAGTATGAGTGGAAAAATAAAAAAAAAAAAAAGAAAGAAAGAAAGAAAGAAAACTTATGAGGCAGAATTGAAAGACCTGTTGCTCTAGACACAAATCTGAGTTTCCAGCAACTGCCTCCTGAGCTTTCCTGTAAAAAATTTACAAGAAAAATCATTATTAGCAGACCTTACTTAAGGAAAAAAATAGCATTTTGCTTCAAGAATAATGGAATGGCCTTTACTTGGGAAAAAAATGCTCTAAGTAGCAACAAGTTTGTTCTCTGTTTATTTCAAAAGCTTGTCCAAAAATAATTAAGAGGAATATATATATAAGAGGAATTATAAGAAAAGATGTCCACTGGAATTAAATTAAGGCTTTGAAATGGCCAATAAGTAAGCAAAGGTGCACGTCCTCAAAACAACAAGTTTACAGTAAATCGAGCAAGCTAACAAGTGACAGAAAGCAGAGACAGGGAAAGATAAAGATTTGGGAGTGAGAGGGTCTTTGATTAAATAAATGGCAAATTTTGGAAGTAGAAGCTTACAAGAGTCCTAATATTAAAGATGCTTCTGACTTGATGAAGATGACTGAGATGGGATTTTTTTAAGGGGCTACAAAGAGCCAAGTGAATAACGCAGCCTCAACCCCCTGTGCAAAACTTAGTGCTCTCAGCGAGGAGGCTGCCGGCGCAGAGGGGAAAGACTCAAGTGCTCGGAAGGGACCTCGGCAGAGGGATCCTCTGTCCTCCCTCCTCCAGCACGGACACGGCTCCCGCAGAACCAGCCTCCTTCATGGGAGCCTCCTCTGAAGTGCTCGGGGTAAATGGAAGCAGCTCCGGGGGATTTGGATTCTCAACTTGAAGTTGAGAACAAGTCAAACTAAAAAGCACTTATTGCTCTTTCCCCATGAAAGTTACCTGATACATGGTAAAATAAGCAAAGCAAAAAGCAAAGCAAAATAACTTCACTTCTATCTTTTCCTCCTTGACATACAAACGTGATTTGCTGCCCTTTCTGTTCCCCAGGTTAGATTTGCAGAGGCAGAGTTCAATAAATTGAAGCTACACTATACAGGGATTTGGAGGGAAAGGTCTGATTGCTTCAAACATGTAAAGTTTTAGAAATACTGCAATTTTAAATATCTGGAGGATCGCCATCCAATATTCAAGCGTGGCGAACAGAGCTTACTGACTTTTTTACACGCTATTACAAAACTTTTTGGTTTCAAACATTAGTGCGATTCCTCCCAACGGTCTCCTATTAAAAATATAATATTAGGTAACTTCACAAGTTTCTTTTCCATGCCATAACTTCATTCTTTCTATTTCCTGTTTCACTCAAGTGTTTCAAACATACGTTTAAAGTTTGAGATTTGGATCATCTCAGCATAGGCAAGCAAGCATAAACCCCACTTAGGCTAAGAAAACAACAGAAACACCCCAAAGTCTACGGGCAGCAGGAGAGACCAGTTCTCCACAATCCACGTGTGATAAAGAATATTGAGAAATCCCTGGTTAGGCATCATAAAATCAAGCTCCTTACCATGATCTGTGGAGTACAGTCAGGTCCAAGCTGTTTTGCTCAAGCACCACACCAACTGCTCTTTCTCTTAAGTGACTTTAAAAAAAGAAAAAACTCCTTTTCCCAGTGATAGGTGGGAGAAAAACTCCACGGAGCTTTCAGGCTTTACTAGTTAAGGCTGCGTTTTATGAAACCAGTTTAAAAGAGCTCAGCCCAGAGCGAGGGCGCAGGCTGTCCTGTCCGCCCCTCTCTCCTCCTCGCTCTCACTGTCCCTCTGAGCAAATGAGGCTCATTTTTCCAGTAGCCTTTAGCTCGCTAGATCAACTGGCATGGAAAATGTGAGCCGGGGCGCAGCGCTGCGCAGCGCAGCGCGCGGGACCCGCGCGGATGCTGACGGGCACCTCGCGAGCGGCCGCCTGCCAAGTCCCTCGCCCAGGACTAGAGAGCGGCCCCCGAGGCAGGGGACTGCGCCATCTAGTCAGCTGCCTGCCTTGGCTCTGCCTGGCAGCAGCGGGATCGCTTGGGATGCATCACGGAACCGCTTGGGATGCGGGGCTGGAGCGCGGCTGGGCGCCCCGTTTCTCTGGCATTCAATGGTCTTTGGGGGGGGGTGAGGGGGGGTTTCCAGTAAAATATCACTACTGAGATAATCCACATGCAGAGGATATGGGAAAATTCGGGTTATAATAGCACGGCGAACTTCCACATCTAACTTTGATTTACAAGATAAAAGCAACTTTTAAATTAAAGAGCCTTGCTGCTAATAGAGCTTATTATTCCAGAGACGGGAATGATTTTCCTAGAAAGTTGTCCCTGTGTGCCTGCCTATTATCTTTGCTTTCCCCCTTCCACTAATGAGCATTTATCTAAAGAGCCTGTTAATCCTCTGATGTGTGCTTCTGGTCAGAGGTAACAGTTTGAATAAAACCACTAATCACTTATCACTAATCACCGATCATTAATCACACTTTTCCCTAGTGCTCTGCGACCTCTACAGCTCCCTTGGGATTAAGGAGTCACAAATAAGGATTTTAGCCTTTTTTCTTTTCTTTCCTCTTTTTCTTTTTTTTAATGAAGAATTTTCAGCCTTTTGCTGAAAGCCTCGTTCGCCACGAGAAAGTTAGAAAAACGCCAAGCGAGGAACTTCCAACGCTTTTCCCCCGAAAATCTCCCTTTCCCGTGCAGCAGCGAGCCCCCTCCCGCAAAGCCCCGCACGCCGGGCTGCTTTTCCCTTTTTTTGTGTGTGTGTGTGTCCTCGGCTTTGGCGCCCCGCTCCCAGCCCGCTCCCTGCCTCGCTCCCGCATGACACTTTCTTCCAAGAAACTTTTTGCGGGCGCCGCGGGCAGCGCTCGAGCGAGACGCTCCGCGCCGGTGCCGGTGCCGGTGCCGGTTGCTGCGGGGACCCGGGCCGCGGAGCACTCACCGTGCCGGGCCATGGGCGCTGCGACGCGCGGGCGCTCAGCGCGGGTCCATCCCCGCGGCGCGCGGGCTGCGCGGCGCCTCCCGCGGACCTGGCTGCGGACACAGAGAGCGCCGTGAGGAGCCGGTCCCGCTCCCGCCGCCTGACGTCACGGCCCGGTCCGGCCCGGTG